ATATATATATATATATATATACACAACACATATATATATATATATATATATATATATATATATATATATATATGTATATATATATATAAAATTGTGTAAAACAAAGATATTTTCTTTCTTTTTTATCCCTTAGATACTTTTGGTGGTCATGACCCCCAGCTTGGGAACCACTGGGTTATAAGGGAGATGACTAGTCCTATAGTTATTTTGAACTACTGATCCAAATGATATAAAGTAAGTTTTTCAGCCTTTTTAGAGATTAATATACACAGATGATTCAACATTTCAAGCCTAACTAATGTACTTTTAAATCAATATATTTCAAAACATCCCAAAAAAATCTGTCTTGCAAAACTCCATCTACATGCTAAGCGAAGTTACACGGCTTCTGACCCGAAGGTTGAGAAACTCCTCTTTACATTTTTAAAATACATGTCCTAATATGGTCATGAAAATTTGCCCAATGTGCTGCATCCTGTTGGGCCCACCTGAGGAAGCAGAGGAGTTTCCTGAACCCAGATTTAGCTAGAAATGTTGTACTCTTATAAAATATATGGTTGATTTAGGGTAATTTCAGGAAGCACACACATTACTGACACAACACTTTTAGGAGGCAAAGTTAAGTAAGGGCAAACTTTACTCACCTCACTAAGTCAGTCATACATGAGCCAACCACCGTCACGTCAAAAGCCTCTTCAGTCATGATCTGATTGAGACACACGTATAGAAACAACACTCATTTCTGGACGTGAAATGTCTTTATTCATTTAAATTAGGTGTTGATGATTTAGAAGACTCTAGAACATCTCAACATCTGTCCAGCCTCTCCACTAAAACCTATTCATAAACAAGGACAAAATCTAAAGCCTTAGCGGGTTCCTCGGGGGCATATCAGGCAAAATATGTAAACTAGTTTCCCAAAAGCTTCCAAACAAAAATCCCTTGATATTATTTATCTCCCACATTAGCATGAGCTTGATTGAAACAAGGAAGAAGGTAAAAATAGAGCATTCATCGCTGGCTGAGTTGGACAGGTTCCAGTCTTATTGCGGGTGGAGTAAGGGGATGGAGGGGGGGGGTTTCAATGCTAACCACGTGAATGCACCGCAGCCCAGTGAAGTCTATAATTAATTCAATCCTCGGCTTGTATCAGAGCTAATGCTACTGTGTTAATCTCTTCAAATCTCTGCCTAGGCAGTGGAAGACTTGGAAAGCCTGGCCGCTGGCTGCAGGATGGCTCAATTCTCTCTCCCACATCTCAGTATATTGTCTTCCCTTTCGGCAGGCATGAAAAGCTAGCCTAGAACCCTCCACAGGAGGAGAATATTGTGAGATCTGCACTGTCAGGCCACTTGAAGCAGCAAGGAACCCTGTTAAAGTTCTCCTTCTCTCTTTTTTTTTTCAGTTGAAGGCTGAATTATCATACAGTCGCTGACCAACCTGAATAAATGCTTGTAGACACAGCCGAATGCGAAAAGTGTTTAACCATTACTCATAATATAGCTTAACAAAAGGTTCCACTCAGGCCCTGGTCAAACAGTATATGTGCATAGTGAGTGACTTAAGAGATGATTTGAGAGTTGACATTTTTGTGACTTGAACAAAGCATTCTTTCAAAAGACTGCAGTCATACGTTTAAACGGTTTAGTCTAAATGCAAATCAAAGTTGCACACAGCGGGTTTAACAGTTTAGACTGAGCTGTAAGCAGAATCCAAATGAAAACGTTGTTGGACCCATTTAAGAATGTTTAGAAGCTTGTAAGTTGTAAGATTACATATTTTGCCTATTTCTGGTCTGGCAGTCAAGACTTAGCTGCATGATGACTGTTATTACAATGATACAACCATTTATGTTTAAAAAATGCTTTTTAGAAGTTCAGAGGATGACTATAATCACCCCCACTCCCCCAAACACAAACAAAAAAGGCTTTTTTTATTTGCAGGGTCATTTTTTCCAACAGTAACAATTTAAGAATACTCAAAAGACTAAAGTACATGAACTAATAAGACAACCTCTCATGTCATTAAATGAATTAAACCAGTAAGAGCTCGATTTGTCATTATACAACACAGGACAGCAGAATAGAGTACAGTTGTTTTCTAATGGATACTGAATTATTCTTAATTATTCTGAACCCAGATGAACGTGGAATTTCCCAGTTGTGAATCAGCACTGATATAACCTTTATGCCTTAGTTAGTACTAGTATTTTTATTTAACAAGTTATATTGTTCTATTTGTACAAGACAGACACATTTCAGGTGTCACTTCCCATAACACCTCACCAGTCTGTGAGGACTTTTATTTTGGATGGGTTACGATAAATACAGGAAGATAAACACCAAACAGCCTTCCAGCCCTCAAGTCTGTAATGTGGTTGTGCAATAAGATCTCTTTGGGTTAAATCAATCAACCTTTCCATAGAACTACAAAGAAGGGGAATGTAACAGCACCAATACAGCTTTAAGCCATGCAGTGTAGCTTAATGTCTGTATGTTATACAGACATTTATGTATATGAGCATGATTATCAGGAACTTAAGTAATTAAAGTAAGCTAGTACTTCCTCACTTAAATGCTTACTTAAGGATTACAGATAGATATAAAAATGCTCATATGAATAATGCTGTGTTAACTCGTTTATGGATTTACCTGTAAAACATAGACCCCAATGTTATGTTAACAGATTTGATGGTAGATGTAACGTTAAAGCAAATGCGTGTTTAGCCAAACTTCCTCTCCAACTCTGGAAACATAGAAAACTCCACAAACTCAAAGGAAATAAGACCCAGCAAAAATGAGACGAATGTCAGAGTCAAATAAAGTGTGTGGAGACGAACTGTTGCTGAGAAATGCGACCCAATAATTACCTTGCATTGAAATGTGCTGCTGCAGAGAGGACAACTACAGCACCAAAATGACAGCTGCCTAACGTAGCTAATGCCAGACGCATATTTATCATTAAATCAGTACACGCGCCTTTAATGATGCTTCAGATGTTTTAAGTATGATTAAGCCACACAAATCATGCTTTATGAGTCATATAGCACAGAGAAATGTGGCTCTGGGGATGAAAGCACTCATTGTGTCAACAGGCATTATTAGAGACAGCTGACGGTGGGGCTGTTAAAAGGACCCAAACAAAATGTACCGGAACTGTTGAGAGCATGAAGTAAACATTAGCGTTAACGCTTAAATGATCCGACTTCCTGCTCCTTCAGGTACTCCAACTCACACCGCATCTTGTATCCAACTGGGGAATACTTAAAAGGTTGTTTTTCGAGTAAGCTAATCATTTAAAATGCAGCAATTTGATGCTCCATTCTGTGGTAAGCTAACAATGGCTAACAGAAGCTAGCTCCCGAGTATTTACAGTGAGTTACATCCTGACACTGTATCGGACGTACAGACGTATTCCCCCCGAACCGTACCGCAGCTGTGAGACCACCGCTGGGTGCTGGGTGCAGGGTGCAGGGTGGTCGGTCCATAGTGATAGTCACAGTGGGTGAGAGGGGAACATTTAAGTTACCTCCGCTCCACCTGTTGGCCCTTACACGGTTGTATCTTCATGTAACTTCCAGGAACATTAAGGTGGATTAACATGTGTTGTCAGTCTGCGCATTCCAATTTTAAATGCACATTTTCTCCGAAATACTCCGCAACCCAAGTTCGTAGATTAGGAAACCGATTCTGACGTGCACACAAAATGTTCCATGACACCAGGAAATGACAGCTAGGTGACCTACGTGGTGTTAGCTCACGACCTTTGAAGCTTCAGAGAAAACACCGATTTGTTTTTTGCTTAGTACAAACTACTGTGTTGATAACTGATGTTCAAGCCTTTCCGTGTTGTTGTGTCTCCGCAGACTCCTCAGAGTGGTTAAAATGAACAACATGTCCCCTGAGGTTGCACTGAACCGGATCTCACCTGAGTTGCGGCCCTTGCTGTGCAGCGTTGTGCGGAACGGCCGTGTAGGACTCGACTCCACGAACTGTCTGCGTGTGACAGACCTCAAAACTGGGTGAGGAGTGGTTTCGGACCATAATGTAAAACATGGGCTCCACTCAGCCTCTCTTCTCTGCAGTGATGCTGCGTTCAAATGATGTGAGGAGGATGGATGAGGTGTTGGGCAAAGCCTGCAAACATGAAATCATGATTTAAAATATTTACATATATACATACAATGATGTACATACAATGTACCGGGAGTGAGTTTCCTGGATGATACTTTAGGCTAATGTTATGTTAATGGTCATTTGTCATAGATTCCAATTTTCCAGTTCAGTTTTCAGTTGGTTGCGAACGCTCTGGGATAGCTGCTGAATTTGTGTAGGACCGGCCTCATATCCAGAAGTGAAATATTTCAACTGGCAAATGTGTTATGTAGGTCCATACATAGTGGTTAAGATTAAGCTCAAGATTGCAGAGTTAGCAGTGCAAGAAACATCATTTTAAGGTCAGCGATTGGATTTTACCCAAAGTCATCGCACCAAAATGCTCCTTGGGAGTCATAGATTTTAGGTTTTTACAAAGTCTTGTACCTTTTTGACTTTTTATTAAAGAGATAGATATTTCTATATATATATAGATATGACTCCATCACGGATATAGTTATTTGACCCAGCACACGTACAGGATGATAACTGAAGATATGGACAATGACAGCTTTATTACAATTCGTTCCTGTTTTGTCTGTTGTGGATTACATAGTGAGGTTTTACAATGGATATTGGTCTTCATAATGGAAGGTGCTATACAAATGAATTCCTTCTGTTTTAAACTACACGTGATCACATCTGGTTTTAACTATGGTGGTTGTTATTGATGGCAAATTAGTGAGAAAACTGTGTAAAGTTGAAGGAGATTATCATCAAA